GTGGTGGTGGTTGTGGTGGGGGTTGTAGGTTTGGTGGTTGTGGTGGTGGTTGTGGTGGGGGTTGTAGGTTTGGTGGTTGTGGTGGGGGTTGTAGGTTTGGTGGTGGTCTTCGTGGTTGTAGGGTTGGTGGGTGTGGTGGGGGTAGGTACTGCTTGACGTATTTCTTCCATATCATGTCCAACTTTCTTAGAGGCATCATTCATTTCTTTCCTGCAAGAGTTGTAAAAATATATATATATTAGTATATTTTGGAAGCAGGTTTTCTATAGTACACATGTCATTAAACACAACAGAATTGTGAATATTGTTAATTTTCTTTTGAATGTGTTCCATTCGACGTTTTGTCAGCAATGTGCTATCTTCATGAGATCACTATGTTGCACTAACAGAGTATCTTTGTGAAAGAAACGATAATAATCAGTTTTGTCGTATTTAAATCGTATCTTCAGATATCTGAACCGACCATATCAAGTTATGTCGTATCTAAATCGTATCTTCAGATATCTGCACCGACCATATCAAGTTTTGTCGTATCTAAATCGTATCTTCAGATATCTGAACCGACCATATCAATCTATATTTTACCCGTTCGCATTTTCATCTTTTTTTATCTGATCACTTAGCCTCGATTCTCAATTGGACAGTTGATACATTGTGTACCTGTTCTCGTGTTGGTCCAGGAACTCTCCAACGCCTTGTTGGTCTTCCAGGATGAAGCCTGAAGTGACACACACCAGGGCCAAGAGACCCATTAACACGAAGCTGTACCTGTTGGGGGAGAGGTGAGAGGAGAGAATGAGAGACATGATAAAGCTTTATCTGCTAGGGAGAGGTGGAGAGGAGAGGGAGAGAGAGATGATAACACGAAGCAGTGTAACCATAGACCAGTGTGTTCTCAGAGTAAATCCATTAAAACGAGACATCGAACCCCCCCTCACCATCGAACCTTGATATTTATCTAGATATTTGTGTTGGTCTTAAAGCATATTATGGCCAATAATAGTCTACTTGTAAGCTGGCAGGTGAACCTTGTCCGAAATATAAAATATTCTCAAGTTATAACTGTATTGCATTATGAATTATTGGTTTAAAATATAAAATAAAACGTTTAACAGTTTTTTATTTGGTTGTCTGTTAATGATATTCATGGGGATCCTGAAGTTGTTTTCGAATTTCATTTTTCACGTTTGAAAATTATTCACTGTATTATGTTGTTATAGATTCAGCTACTCGGAACAGGTTCCAAGTAGCACGGGCTATGGTGAGCCCGTAACTTACCTGGCACAGGAGCGGGGCAAGTAGCACGGGCTATGGTGAGCCCGTAACTTACCCTGCACAGGAGCGGGGCAAGTAGCACAGGCTATGGTGAGCCCGTAGTGGACTTACCTGGCACGGGAGTGGTGCCGTCTCTCCACTGTATTAACATTGCCAAACGTTATTAAATTTAACCTAACCTAACTTTAAGCTAATATAACTGTAAGCTAACCTAACCATTGATAGGGGCATATAATACCACTAATTATATAGTGGTTTCGAATTGATTATCCAGGGAATCCTCTCCCTGAGGATAGATTGGATATGATATGTAGACAGGGCTTTTTGTTTAAGAGAATCTCGCATTATTTGTTTCACTTTTTAGATGACCCTTTGCATACGTAAACCAGAAGTTCGTATGGGCCAATAGGATGAATGCAGTTTCCACATTTATTATGGTCTTATAATAAGTAAATTTCAAGTATAATTAACACATCTCTGCATTGGTAAACTACATAAATAGCTGAGACAGCTCAACTTAGTGATTCTACACGCAAACTTGATACAACTCAAGCTGGAACAACTGAAGTTTCAGGACGACAGTTAAGCTCGAGCAAAAATGCTCACCTCATGATGAAGTTGTGGAGAGTGTGGTGGCTGGATGCGACTGTGGCTGATAGGTGGTAGCCCAGAATGAAATAAATGTGGAACGTACAGTTTTTTATACTCCTAACCCTGCACGTACACAAGATTAAGTGACATACTCGATGAACATGTGTCCTGTGATTTTAGACACACACACACACACACAAGCACACTCACACGCAAGCACACACACACACACACACACACACACACACACACACACACACACACACACACACACACACACACACACACACACACACACCACACACACACATGTCCTCACTTTAGAGTAGTTAATAAATGGAACGCACTAGGAAGTGATGTGGTGGAGGCTGACTCCATACACAGTTTCAAATATAAGTAAAATAGAGCCCAGTAGGCTTAGGAATCTGTACACCAGTTGATTGTCGGTTGAGAGGCGGGACCAAAGAGACAAAGCTTAACCCCCGCAAGCACAACTAGGTGAGTACACACACACGCACACATACACAGAAGAGGCACTAAACGACAGACCAGTATCACTGACAAGCATCCACTGCAAAGTGCTTGAAAGAATAATCAGCCAAAGACTGGCTATACACTTAGAGAGCATTAGAATGTAAACAAACCCCAACATGGGTTCAGGGAAGGGAAATGATGCCTAACAAACCTTCTGAAATTTTATGATAGAGTAACAAATATATGACTTGACTGGGACCAGTCAAGACCAGAAGCAGTGGAGTGGAGTTTCACATGCTTCTGTGATACCAGTGGGCTACCACTTGATATAAGTAGCTGATATCCCTGGAAACACAAACCGAAACTGTCTCTATTTGCCGCTTGTTACAACTTGTAATAAAGTTGTTACATCTTGGCTTAACGTGTTATGATGTATTACAACGTTGTTACAACTTGCTATATTGGTTGTTATAACTGGTTAGGAGGTGTTAAAACTTGTTCGAACGTTGTACCAACGTCGTAGTTTCGGTGTGTGTTTGGCGGGATATTCCTGATGGTATCGGATTGCAACCTGACTATAATAGCATAGAGTGTTGGAGTCATGTTATTATCCATGTATTTGTGTTGTACATGTTCTCTGTCTAGTAAATGTATATAATTCACCAGTGTTTGCCCATGTCCTAGTGAGGCTTCCCAGAAAGTAGAAAAGAAAGAAAGAGAGAGAGAGAGAACCACAGCTGTGGACAGGGTGGTACAGAATTATAATTCAAAGAAAGGTGGATTGAGGAGGTCATACCAAAATAAGGAGAGAGTGGGGAGTCACAGCGGCTCGAATTGGGTGTGTACACGTGACAACGAGGCCAGTGTTGGAGCTGCACCCCCCCTAAATGTGTGATGCTGAGCCCCTCTCCAAGAACAGGAAGCATACAGGGTGATCTCCTGATCAAAGTACAAGCACTCTACGGGTTTTGGTTGGTTGTACAGAAGGGACGTACGCACCTACCTACCCACAACACGTCATAATAATATATAGAAGGGGGTGGCAAAAACAAATCTAAATGTTTGTTTTTTTCCAGATATATCAAAGATTGGGAAGAAAACAGGCTATTAAAAATGAAACATTTCAGGAAACTGACGAATATGCGATGAGTTGTGTTTTAAATTAGTATATTTTCTTTTTATTTAATAGAGAGCTTGATAGTATGCCTGAAGTTATATATGTGGAGGAGAGCAACCGGAGAAGTGCTCAATGAGCCCCATTGTCTTGTATATATAGTAAATCGTTAGACTCGATCAGAGTGCCGGAAGCGAGAAGGGTGTCAAATGGTGTGCAATTTTTTAGGAAGGAAAATAGTTTACTTGCTTCAAACTAACGTTCTTAGCTTAGCGTCTATTGTCGGTAACCTGGTTATTTTGATAACAGCACAAGTAATTTGTGTGCCTATCTCTCTCTCTCTCTCTCTCTCTCTCTCTCTCTCTCTCTCTCTCTCTCTCTCTCTCTCTCTCTCTCTCTCTCTCTCTCTCTCTCTCTCTCTCTCTCTCTCCCTCTCTCTCTCTCTCTCTCTCTCTCTCCCCAGAATCTCTCTCGCGGATGAATAAAAGTGATCTTTTACATAATCTGCACTATTAATATTCATACTGTATAGCAAAAACAAGAAAGTTCTTCAGTTGTTTTAGTGTTGGAGTTGAACCGATCGCCCGCGGGAAAGTTAATAAGGCCGCCAAAGACCCTACTAACCGTCCAGCAAATATACTTTTTTAGTCCTGAACATATTTTTTGTAGTAAAATATACTTTTAGAGTATACTCACCCTGAATCTGTATAAACCTCTCAGTGCATATATTCTCTGTAGTGTTTATATAATCTGAAGATATATGTGTATAGCCTCAATATTACTTCATTTATATATACTTCATTTTATACGTTTATACAATGTATAAAAAATATATACTCAATTATTATTATTTTTCCACGATATTAAGACTTACCCTTTTCACATTTATTTATTTTGTAATCATTATTGTCTGCGATATTATCGTGTCTTGCCGTTGTTATTCTTTATTTGTTTTTGTCTTTGTTGCTGGTGTTCTGTATTTTTATTTTATTTATTATGTTCTATAACTGTTTCTATTTTTTCTGCTGTTTTAGCTTTCCTGTTGATGTTTGTATCTTTATTGTTTATTAGATGTTCTTGTTATGATGTTATTCCATTTTTTGTTCTATTGTTCTTGCTTATTTGTTGGTATTTGTTGCTTCTCTCGTGAAAGTTATTGTCTTTGTTCATGTATTTCCTAATGATATTCTTTTTCCTGTTCTTATTGTTTTATTGATGTTATTGCTAATGTTCCTTTTCGCCTTTTTGCATTGGTATCATTATTAGTAGTAATATTTTTATTATTTTCTCTCGTATACACTTTTCAGTGAAAAGTTGGTTAAATTTAAGTCCAATAGTGATTATTTTATCTCTCTGGGTCTTTCCTGTTACACACATATAACGTTGTCTCATAGGATTTTTAAACATTATTACGTTGCTGCAAAGTTGCATCAATGTAACACTAGATAAAATAATGTTGTGGCAAAGTTTCATCAATGTAACACTAGATAAAATATTGTTGTGGCAAAGTTGCATCAATGTAACAATAGTTTAAATAACATTGTGAATTCATTATGTCTTTATTTGGGTACTGTGTGCAAGTTATAATTATGATAGGTGTTTAATAACATAATATTTTTCAATATTGTAATTTGTAGCAATCTGTGCAACGTTGGTCGTGCAATGCTTTAACTCTTCTGTCAGATCCCTTCTTAGGCTTATTTGCCACTAGGTGCTGGGAGGGGAGGTGGTAGTGGTGGTATTGATGGTAGTGGTGATATTGAAAGCAGGCCTGGGGGGACGAGTTCCATTTCCATGATGTCCACCTCCGCCACCTCCATGATGTCCACCTCCGTGATGTCCACCTCCGTGATGTCTGCCTCCACCACCGCGATGACCTCGTCTGCCTCCGTGACGTTCAATTATGCCTCCAAAGGCACCATTTTCTCTCCTGCAAGGGTTAAAAAAGATACATGTTAAAGGAAGCACGGAAATGCGAATTTGATTAAAAAAACACAACACGTAAAACACCCTGAATTATATATAATGTACAACTTTGCATGGAACACTTCGTTTACATCTAGGAAAACGTAGATTAATAAGGGATTCACAACATGGTCTTGCTAAGGGACAGGGTTTTTTTTTAAAGAAATTTATCTCTCATTATTTTCCGGAATACTTCAAGTAGTTGGTAGTAAAAAAATTAGGAAATTTTATACCTTGAATTCAGCAGTCTTTGAAAAAAATGAGTTTGCATAAATGGAATTAAGTTTCAGTAAGTAAACCCTTGTAAGTGGAGTTCCCCAGGGGTCATATCCTGGCATCTAGGTTGTTTACAATTATATAAATGATATTGACACAGGCTTAAACAACAAGATTTACAAATTTGTAAAACAACAAAATTAAAAGACAGGGTAGGAAATAAAATCAGACGAAGACTCAAAATCGTTTTAAAATACTCTGGCCCATTATCAAGTCGATTGTGTGACCATCAATCCTGAATCATTATCACAATCGACTTGATACTGGACCGAAACGTCGTCTTCTCCTCATTTTCTGGTGTGAGGTTTGATAATCAAGCTTTTTGAAGTTTCGTATACCAATATATATATATATATATATATATATATATATATATATATATATATATATATATATATATATATATATATATATATAATATTTGTTTGCCTGTGAGGCTGACAATAATGAAATGTTAAGTGAATGGGAGGAGGAAACATACATCGACCTCTGGTTATCGATTTCTTTTACCGCCGTTCTCATGGTAGACTACCTTGCCCTCATCTCAGTCAGCAACATCATCCCCATTCCCAAGTGATTACTCAAACCATATCTCAGACGACCACATTAACCCATATTTCTACCGGCTGCGTTTTTAACTCTCAACAAGTTCGTCAGTCTCGGTAATCAAGGCGATAGACGATGGCGCACCTGTTCTCTTGATGGTCCTCCAGGTCGTAGCCTGAAGTGACACACACGAAGGCCAGGAGACCTAGTAGCACGAAGCAGTACCTGTGGGGAAGAGGTGAGAGATATGATAACACGAAGCTGTACCTGTGGGGGAAGAGGTGAGAGGGTGAGAGATATGATAACACGAAGCTGTACCTGTGGGGGAAGAGGTGAGAGGGTGAGAGATATGATAACACGAAGCTGTACCTGTGTGGGGAAGAGGTGAGAGGGTGAGAGATATGATAACACAAAGCTGTACCTGTGGGGGAAGAGGTGAGAGATATGATAACACGAAGCTGTACCTGTGGGGGAAGAGGTGAGAGGGTGAGAGATATGATAACACGAAGCTGTACCTGTGGGGGAAGAGGTGAGAGGGTGAGAGATATGATAACACAAAGCTGTACCTGTGGGGAAGAGGTGAGAGGGTGAGAGATATGATAACACGAAGCTGTACAAGTGGGGAAGAGGTAGGAGGAGACGGTATGAGATATAGCACGAAGCTGTCTGTTCCTATAATTATGAGGTGTTGAACAATATATTTTGGAGTTCATTATTGCTATTTCTTTCTTTTCTTTTCGGTGGAATCAGGCCGGGTCGCCCCAGGCATCGCCCGGAACCCTACTTGAGTTAACTATAGATACAAAAATAGATCTAGATACAAAACGTGTTGCACTCAAAAAAAAGTCTACTTTCTTCTTTCTAATAACTTTGAATCGGGCCCAAGAGAAAAAAGCAACAACAAGCTTAACTTTTCTATGCATATTATAGTGCAAATATGTACTATATTAGGCCTGTGTGTGAGAAGCTACACTTAATGCAGTTTTTCCGACGGTGGAATTTTTGCTGAACGGTACACATTGATCTTAGGGTTTTGGATTACATCTAAATATACAATTGGCGCAGCTTAACTTAGGCAAGCTTCACTTATACATTGGTACTGCGCATATCTTGACGATTCATTGACGCTAAACTTACAAACTGACTCAAGCCCAAGACTGACTCAAACTCACGCTCATAAGCTCAAGACTGACTCGTACTCACGCTCATATGCTCAAGACTGACTCGTACTCATGCTCATAAGCTTAAGACTGGGCATGAACCTGACTTAACTCAATTAGGAACGTCTGAGCTTCTCGGAGGCTAAATGAACCCAAGCAAGACAGCGCTTACCTCATGACTGCAAGATCTGGTGACTGGGAGAGGAACTAGAGAAGATGAGACAGGTGGAAGGTATGAGTTATACTAGGCAGAGCGAGGGGCTTTTATACGGGCTTTCATCCCCAAGTGTAGGTAATCAGATGACACCTTCGTCTGCGTGCAGCTAAATACACAAGCAAACATACACACACATACACACGCGTACACACACACACGTACATACACACACAGACACGTATGTAAATACCAATTGCTCTGATGAACTAATTCATCTTTTTGTTAGTTTTGTCATTCAATTCAATATTGACACCTATACCTATTCACCCTCTAGTGAGGTCAGTCTTCACCCTCCCCCCCCCCTGTTACCCATGAAGCTCCTCCCATATCCCCACTGGAAATGGGGGTGTAGGAAGAGTTTTCTCTCACACACTCCTACTCTGTGGAGCTGCTTACACACACACACACCCTCCCTTGCACACTCACCCTCAGGGGAGGGTTTTATTACCCTCCCCCTGTACACCCAACCACACCCACACAGCTTCTATATTCACCCAACCACACACCCACACAGCTCCTATATACACCCAACCACACACCCACACAGCTCCTATATACACCCAACCACACCCACACAGCTCCTATATACACCCAACCACACACCCACACAGCTCCTATATACACCCAACCACACCCACACAGCTCCTATATTCACCCAACCACACCCACACAGCTCCTATATACACCCAACCACACCCACACAGCTCATATATACACCCAACCACACACCCACACAGCTCCTATATACACCCAACCACACCCCACACAGCTCCTATATTCACCCAACCACACCCACACAGCTCCTATATACACCCAACCACACCCACACAGCTCCTATATACACCCAACCACACCCACACAGCTCCTATATACACCCAACCACACCCACACAGCTCCTATATACACCCAACCACACCCACACAGCTCCTATATACACCCAACCACACCCACACAGCTCCTATATACACCCAACCACACCCACACAGCTCCTATATTCACCCAACCACACACCCACACAGCTCCTATATACATCCACGAAGTTGGACCAGGTGAGGAACCTTGATCTTATACATAACTCTGAGGCTGACAACATCTTTCCAGTGTTGAAAGCACATGATGCTTAGAACAGTCCAACCACAACTGGAGTGTTCCAACCACAGCTATTCAAGAGGGAAGGGAACTATTAGGAGAAAGACCCAAGTCATTACGACTATATAAGCACTGGGAAGGGGTCAGGATAAGGATTTGGGATGGGACGAAGGGGAAGGAATGGTGCCCAAACATTTGGACAATCGCGGATTGAGCTATTCAGGAAAGTGGTAGATACTCAAAATGGAAAAGAACTTGTGCTATGTTCATAAATGCTGTTATTGTGAGCATAGGGAGGGCCTTTTTACATCTTTTAAACGCTAATGTTAAGAGCAGAAGGACGCCTTTTATTTCTTGTGACTGCTTTTGTTGTGAGGAAAAAGGACGCCTTTTGAGATCTTGTGAATGCGTCCTACGTAAGGAGAGGGTCACTTTTCAGATCTTCTAGCTTTGTTTTCGACCCTACCAGGCACCTGACATCCATAGCTAAACTATGGGTGGTCAGAAAGTTTGATTACTTACTGCCACCGCTGAGGAATGAGGATACAGTATGTGATACAGTACAGCTACGTGCTAGTGATTCAGTATATGATTGGTAATGGTGTTATCCCCTGGAATAAGGCATTCCATTCAATTGTTTCTAGTTCTCTCTCGCCCCCCCCCCCCCCCCTCTCTCTCTCTCTCTCTCTCTCTCTCTCTCTCTCTCTCTCTCTCTCTCTCTCTCTCTCTCTCTCTCTCTCTCTCTCTCTCTCTCTCTCTCTCTCTCTCTCTCTCTCTCTCTCTCTCTCTCTCTCTCTCTCTCTCTCTCTCTCTCTCTCTCTCTCTCTCTCTCTCTCTCTCCCTCCCTCCCTCTCTCTGAAAATTTTGTAATTGCATGTTATCGTATTGGGGTTATATAAACACAAACGTCGATATTGCATTTTATTATCAATGAATATTAATATGGACAAAACAAGAGTTTTATTCATATCTGAAAACGTGTTATAAAATTTAATAACAATATAACATTTGACAAAATATTGCATTTAACTATATTGGCTCTTAAGACATTGTTTAATATTTCAAAATCAATGCCTTTATGTTCATGAATAACAGTATTATTACTGTTCTTGCTTTTTGAACGTTGTTTAGTGTTATTATTGTCCTTGTTTCGGGATTGTTTAGCTATTTCATTGTTTTATTGTTTCTTCTTTTGCTGCTGTGTTTTATTGGTCGTACTTTGAATCTTTTTTACTGTGTCTTTTATAGTTTATTTGAGTTTTGTGTTTTATTGATTTTGTTATTGTTATTTCTTTGACGTTGTTCTATATTTTGTCTTTTGTAATTATTTTTACTTCAGTTATGGTTGTACTGTTTTATTTGTTATGTTTTATTATTTTTTTTATTATTTTGATGTTGTTCTATGTCTTGTATTCTATTGTTTTTACTATTTTTGTTATTGTTTTGCCATTCTGTTTTTTTTAGATATTATTATTTTTACTTTTTCGTTATAATTTGGCCATTTTTTTATTTATTGCTTTATTATTTATGTTTTGTGATTCTCATCTAAATCTTTATTAATTTTATACCTAAAAGGAGTAATTTTGTATATTATATTTAATTTTGTTAATTTTAGTATTATGATGAACTGGTTTTTGGCATTGTTTCTCTGGTTCAAGAACAGGCAGTTCTTGTTCCCTATTTTTGTTCTTCTTGATGTTATGCAGTGCTCTATAGTCCTTAAATAACCCATCACAATTTATGTCTGAAGTAGCTTGTAACATTAACTGGAATGTAAATTTTGCCAATGATAATAACTTTCGTATAAAATCTGTGTGAAATAAAATTAAATTTTTAGCGTTCGGTGTTCTTTATTCACGTTCTTGTGCTTCCATTATTAAAGTTGATATAAGTTAAAGTTTTTTTTTTTGTTTTTTTGGACTTTGGTCAGTCTATGGTGATTTGTGATTTTGTGGAAGCTAGTTAGTTTAGTTTAGTTCATTTATTATGCACCCCATACCCATCTTGTGGGCGGTAGTGGAAAGGGTTACAGAGGCACATAATGGGTTCGGAAGCACAAGCCCCATTTGTTTTTGTTTGCACCTATCTTTGCTGCATTTGTTGAAATTATCTGGCATGCATTAAGGTTTCATCTGGCGTTCTATTGTCATTGTGCGACGCTGGACGCAATAGTGGAGGTAGTGGTAGTGGTGGTGGTGCGCCGGCGACGGGAGGGTCTGGTATTATTAGGCTTAAATCGTTTTTTACCCTTCATGAATTGCCTTTCTTCCTCCTCATAGTCTTCACTGTACTCTACAGTGTCCTGTTCAGTGCCCTCTTCACTGCTCTCTGAACTGCTCTCACTGCTTTCGTCACTGCTCTCTTCGCTGTTATCGTCGAACATTGGATAAAAAAAAGGCCTGATTAAAAAAAAATTAGTTAAAAGGAGCTTGTTTACGGATTCAGCAACACAAAAGCACTCAGGGTCAAGAGTGTGGCAGGAGACAATACCATCAGGGTCAGAAATACCTTTTGGGAACTCTCACGGCCTAACAAAAGGAGAAACCATGGGCCAGAATTCGTCCAGCACTTAAAAGCTTACTTGCGAAACCTGAACATCTCTGCCCATTCATGGGGGCTTAGTTTGTATATTCATTTAACATTTTATGAGCTCCGAAGCGCTACGAAGTTATTTATAACCATAACTACATAGGGTGGAGAACGACCTTACAGCGTTTCATAAACTATTTAGAAAATACTAAGTGCCATAATTGAGGACAGATGTGAGTGGCTCTGTACGAGGTAAACGTACGTGAAATACAACGAACTCAAACCTTCTTCATTTAAGCGCCATAAAAAAAGGGGGATACTCTAATCATGAAATGAAGTATGAATATTATTAATCTCATTCATGTATGTAGTCATAACCTCAATCGAGAGATGCTTAAGTGGTAGGACCAAGAGCTTGAGCTCATTCACAGAGCATATGTGCATGCTAGTCATTACAATTGTAGCCTGAAATGTAGCTAACTCAACTGTACAATGAAATCATTTTTTTTAATTTGTATTTATTGAAAAACCTTTGAGGTATTCCATGAATATGAGAAAGTTTGGGAAAGAAATGAGAAACGTTTCGGTTTCTTAGTTAAAACTTCAAGTGAGGGAAAGTTTAGAAAACTGCTAGATTATAACATTTTAGAATGTATCACCAGGCCTGATAAAATGAACAGAAAGAGAGAGAGAGAGAAACAACATCCTCCCCCCCCCCCAAAAAAAAAAAAACATTCTAACTGTTGTTAATCAGCCACACTTTCCCCCCTTTAAGCCAGCCCAATCAACCCTCCTCAATCTTATTTTCAGTTGATTACTCAATTCCACCTTTAATCAATCCAACGCAATTCAAATGTGTTCTCAAACCAGCCCTACTAAATGCCACACCGGTTATTAAGACTGCTAACCTGCTATTGTGAAATCCTTCGTATATGATCACATGTGGCTGGCCGCTGTTGTTCTTTTGCTGTTCAGCTTCTGAAGTGGCACACAAGACGGCCAGGAGACCCAACAGCACGAAGCTGTACCTGTGGTGAGAGGGTGAGAGATATGATAACTCGAAGCTGTACCTGTGGGGGAGAGGTGAGAGATATGATAACACGAAGCTGTACCTGTGGGGGAGAGGTGAGAGATATGATAACTCGAAGCTGTACCTGTGGGGGAGAGGGTGAGAGATATGATAACACGAAGCTGTACCTGTGGGGGAGAGGTGAGAGATATGATAACACGAAGCTGTACCTGTGGACGGGAGGTAAGAGGAGAAAGTGAGAGATAATGGGGGAGAACCTTCGACAAGCCACCGGCTTCCAGTCCTCGTCGAGGTCACTAGTGTTAGTGGCTCTCAAGTATACTCAAGAACTGAAGAAAATTTGTAGCTATGTGTTTCTTAGAGCAACCACGTAGTTATAAAGTTGTGTAGCGGATTTATTAGTTAATGTTTAATGAAAGTTTAGCGGATTTATTAGTTAATGTTAATGAAAGTTAATGTAACAAAATATTAAATAATATAATCACTGGGTTGCTAGAAGGAAATATTCTGGTGGCATTAATTAGAACCTAAACAATTCCTCTTCTTCTTAGTTATTAATCATTAATAATTTAATCAGAGATTGGAACGATGAAGGGAAATATGAAGTTAAAGGCAAACAAATGACATGGTCAGTGATTTCGATAAATAAAATGATTCTTTACATCAAGTTAACAGCAAACAAAAGTCAAAGTCGCTGATCACACTGAACAGGAATGATCCTATATACCAAGTAAAAATTGTAGTGCTCCAGAACTCTGTCCAATATGGAACTTCTGTTGCTTATCGATTTAATATATCAACGATTTAAACAAAGGATTAAATAGCAACATATGCACATATACAAACAAAAAAAGACTTGGAAATAAATCAAGAAAAATAGAAATCACTGTGTGACGATTCAGATACGATTTTAAAATGCCTGACAGATGGGAAGCTGTTGTTTAAAGTTGACAAATCCAAGATTCTGGTACACACACACACACACACACACACACACACACACACACACACACACACACACACACATACACATATATATGTTCTTGTGTATTTCATTAATTAGTGCACTATATATATGATTGTGTGCGCGCGTGTGTGCATCTGTGCTTTAAATAATATTTCTGAACATTTCTTTAAATATTTCTGAAATAAAAAAGGTCGAGATAATTAAAGTCTGAACCGAATAGAAAAAAAATTACTGACCCTAATTCAACTCAACTAAGCACAGTTTAACTTAAATCTGGACCAAGTGAACGTAGTTCAGGTGCATTTTGGGCTTCATTACATCTAATTATAACTCTAGAGGAACCTGTCAGGGCTGAGTTTTGCTACATCTAAACTTCCCACCTGAAAAAGACTCGCAAGACCAAGAGTTCTCACCTCATGATGGAGTTCTGGCGTGACGGTGTCGTAATTGACAGAGGACTGAGCTCCAAGCAGATATATACACCTGACCTTCCACGTGAGAGTAATTAAGTGACACATCCCACCTTAAGGTGCCATGTGTCGCTACAGACAAGGAAAAATAAATGGCAAATTCTAATTTTTTGGCTAAATTGTGAAACGTAATCTTGACTGCATTTTATGTTGCTGCGAATCCGCGGGTGCCGGGCTGTAAGCCAACTTTGTGACTGATGTATGTTGGAAGGTGTTGAAGAGATGACATATTTGTCTGCTTGCTCGTCTCTGGTACAATTTATGCGCGGTACAAATATAAGTCGGCGTGTGTGAGTTAATATGGATCTGTAACTGGCTGTGAATTACAACTTGGTACATAATGGACAATTTATATGCTGGTCCGCACACACACGCACACACACACACACGAGCGCGCGGAGCCTCGCGGCTGAGTTATCAGCATTTGGGGGTCGTAGTCCCAATGGTTCGATTCCCGGCGGAGGCGAAAACAAATGGGCAGAGTTTCTTTCACCGTGGTGCACCTGTTTACCTAGCAGTAAATAGGTACCTGAGAGTTAGACAGCTGCTACGGGCTGCTTCCTGGGGATGTGTGTGTGTGGGGCGGGGGGGTGCGTGAGTAAGTGTGTGTGTGTGTGTGTAATATATGTAGAAGAAATATACGTAGTAGATATACTAGAGGAAAAATAGATTGGTTAGCAAGGCGGGGTCCAAGAGCTAATAGCTCGATTCTGCAGACCCAAATAGTAAATACACACACACACACACACACACACACACACACACACACACACACACACGCACACACACACACACACACACACACACACACACACACACACACACACACACACACACACACACACAGATCCATAGTGGTTCTCTGCTACTTATCCTGTAATGAATAGCGGAGGCTAAATTGATTGAAAAATAACGTGAAGGGAGAGAAAACATGGAGAATAAAGCTGGTAAAATCAATAGAAATGAACGTTTTAATGTAACATGTCAAGATAAAACAAGGAAAAGGGAGGTGGGTGAGAAGGTCAGCAAGCCTGCCTACCAGGATTGGAACCATCCATGTATGGCATTTGGATGGGAATCATCCAAGTTCATCATATGATTTCAGAGTCCAGGGGGCCCCCCAATCAGGGGTTCACCAATAGGATGAATAACATCAATATTCTGGTGCATTTACTTCATCAGCCGTTTGTCGTTTGCCTCAAACAACTTGTGTAAGGCAGGAGTTGTAATTCTCACTATACTGAAAACCAGACACAGAACACAGCTACAGGTAAGAGCCACAAGAGGAACGAGATTCCCATGTGGGATCCTCGATATTAAACTGATTTTTGTACCAGATTTGATGTTGCTCGTATATTAAAATAACCTTGAACCTTTGCAAATACTTATATTTAAAGAGAAATACATTTGATTGGAACAATAACCTTTAACAACATATTAGATTTTTTTTTTACTTGGCTATACATTATAGAACAAATGATTATTGGTATAAATAATTTTGTTTCAGAAGTATCTTCAAAATATAATTTCAGATGCAGAGAATTTAAGTAATTTTTTTGTTTAGAAAAAGAATTTTGTTTTGAAAATTATTTTTGTTCTGAAAATTATTTTAGTTTGGAAAATTTATCAGAGAAGATATTTCTAGTTAAGCTAAACTATGTTTGACTGAATAATGTGCAAAGTTCAGCAAGAAAATTTTTCTGAAAGTTATGAATAAACTATAAGTGACTTTTAGAGATTTTAAATAACTCCTGTAACAAAAAAATATATGTATATAATTCACATATCTAACACACTTTACATAATTTTTGAATAATATCAATACCATAAATCATCACCTATGTCATTCTTACAGCAACCATAAACTATCTTAAATACACCGTTGATGTGCATGTCTTTTTGGACTTCGTTGATGTACATGTCTTTTTGGACTTCGTTGATGTACATGTCTTTTTGGACTTCGTTGATGTACATGTCTTTTTGGACTTCGTTGATGTACATGCGTTTTTGGACTTCGTTGATGGACACGCATTTAGTAGACGGTAAATGCACGAGTGTTTGGTACTGACGTCATTGCCTTCATTGCTTTCATGGCCGCTGCCTTCTTTGCCGATTTATTCACGGCTTTCATCGCTGGGGGGCTCAGTGCTCTCTTCGTTGCTAAAGTCACTGCTTTCTTCACTGCTTTTTTCGGTGCTGTCTTCAATGCTTTTTTCGGTGCTGTCTTCACTGCTTTCTTTTCTCACAACATCACTGCGTTCTTTACTGTTTTCTTCGCTGCTTTTTTCGGTGCTGTCTTCAATGCTTTTTTCGGTGCTGTCTTCAATGCTTTTTTCGGTGCTGTCTTCACTGCTTTCTTTTCTCACAACATCACTGCGTTCTTTACTGATTTCTTTACTGTTTTCTTCGCTGCTCTCTTTTTTCACACCATTGAGTTCTTCACTGCTAGTGTCTTTGATATCTTTACTGTTAGATTCATTGCTGTCTTCAATACTCACTCCAATGGTATTGTTTCTGCAAGGGTAAAAAATAAATCTTTCAGTTAAATAGAAAATATGAGTTTGTGAACCCTTCCAATGTTGTAACTTTCTCCTGGGAGAAAATTATTATTTCAGGTATTTTCTTGTTTACTGCTATTTACTGCTACTATGTACTGTTTACAGGTACCCATTTACAGCTAGGTGAACAGGGGCATCAGGGTGAAAGGAACTCTGTCCAATTGTTTCCGCCTCCGCCGGGGATCGAACCCGGAACCTTGTGACTACGAATCCCGAGCGCTGTCCGCTCAGCCGTAGGCCTCTAAATGTACCTATTTTAAGTCACATTTTACATGCATGCAGATACACACACACACACACACACACACACACACACACACACACACACACACACACACACACACACACACACACATACAGATATGTGTACCTGAATTTATTTTCATCAATTCACATATATACCTGTAAAACATATGCTGTAACTTATTGTTCTTTCAGAATCATTTAACGAATTTGTAAATTCCTGGGGATCTTCTAAATTGGCCGGATGAATGAACAGTAGCACAATGTTCAACCGGCGTCTCAGCAATTCGTAACCGACCACTTAATCCCACTCTAAATCGACCAACATCAGTTCCACTCTCAACCGGCCTCTATTCCCTGCTCTCAACTGGTCACTCAATCCTTTACTCAACCGGCTTCTCAAATCCACTCTCAAAACGCTGCAAATTTTGAGTATCATTCTGCATCAAAATCCCGGCTATCAGCCAAACAATTTGAAGGTTTTGTACCTGATAATCCGAAGGGCGTCAAATAAAGCCATCCTGTCCTTGCCATAGACTGTGAAGCCTGAAGTGGCACACACGAAGGCCAGGAGACCCAGTAGCACGAAGCTGTACCTGTGGGGTGAGAGGAGAGGGTGAGAGATATGATAACATGAAGCTGTACCTGTGGGGGAGAGGTGAGAGAAGAGGGTGAGAGATATGATAACATGAAGCTGTATCTGAGGGGGAGAGGTGAGAAGAGAAGGTGAGAGATATGATAACACGAAGCTGTTCCTGTGGGGGAGAGGTGAGAGATATGATAACATGAAGCTGTACCTGTGGGTGAGAGATATGATAAAACGAAGCTGTACCTGTGGGGGATGGGGGAAGGCAACAACGAGAACTAATCCAGCAGTTCATGAACGCGTGTATAAGGAAGCCAAACTGAAACTCACTGGAGAGTATGAATTCAGCCCCATTCTCTCAACAAATAAGCTCTCTCATATCAGCTTTCCACAACTAAGCTTAATGTTACCTCAAGCTAAAAACCGGCTTAAAAATAATACCTCATGGTGTTTCTTGGGTGTGATGAGAGCTCTCACTGAGGAAAACCGGGGGAGAATGAGAGGGAGAGTGAGAGAAACATGGGTGTCCACTCAGGTTTTTATATACAAATCCGGCCTTGATGAAGAGGCAATAAACTCCCCAACACTCGTGTAAATATTTGTTCGTTAAGAACGCTTAATTTAGGGGTTATTTCTCTTTATGTATTGGTAAACTGTTTTCTACAAAATGGTATTATGAAAGGTATGTTGCTTGAGTGTGAATTTAACGTGTTTTGGGTACTTAGACTGCTGTAGTATGTCACCCGGGTGACATCCACCCGGTGGTGGATGTCACCCGCAGAGCTGGTGGCGCGATTAACTCTCTTTAATCCCACCATGCACCTTTGTAGTGTCTAAGGTGCGGAAATATTGACGTGCCTTACATATATTGAAGGGCCTCACATATATGAACAAGGGGCTACATAAAGGATAATGGGCTTCATATATGTCACGTGTCCTTACATATGATCAAGGGCGACACACACACACACACATATGTTGAACGACGTCACATATGCCGAGGAGAGTATCAAGTTATGCAGCTCTTGGTCATAAACGCAATTTTCACCCATAAATGCCAAATTGTACCCTACATATTCTTTAAATAATTTGTCGAAGTACACATAAATAGCAAATTGTGGTGGTCATATAACTGGGTCTAGCGAGGACGAACTGGAAACAGGTGTGTATGTGTATATATATATATATATATATATATATATATATATATATATATATATATATATATATATATATATATATATATATATATATTATTAAATATGACCGAAAAAGTAAGATTAATAATTCTAACACGAATTTTCTCAATCTTTCGTACATTTCTTTTCACTGTTGGAGGTAATTCAAAAATCAATTCTCCAAAATTCGTTTTTTTTTATGAATAATAAAAAATATAAATGAATATAAATGAATATGAATATAAAAATGAATTTTGGAGAATTGATTTTTGAATTACCTCCAACAGTGAAAAGAAATGTACGAAAGATTGAGAAAATTCGTGTTAGAATTATTAATCTTACTTTTTCGGTCATATTTAATAATATATGTCTACAGGAAAGACTGCTACCAAAATATACTAATATATATATATATATTATAATATATTTCAGGTGACGTAATACTACTTGGGATTGCCGTATTGTTTATGTGTTTATGTTGAAGGTTACACATATATGTAACTTGGGGGGGGGGGTTACCCTGGTTTACCCGGGTCTCTTTCTCTCTCTCTCTCTTCCCCCCTTTCTCCATTTTTCATCTACCCCCTCTCTCCCTCCTTTCCCGCTTGCCTATGTACATTAGTGCTGGTTTATACCGTCTGGATTCATTTTAAATTGATGAATTAAATGCGATTTTAGTAGGATCATTACTATCTATAGTTAATGAAAAAATGGTCATAACGGTGATCTTTGTGACCGGTGCCCGAAAAGGTCACCGAGTGCTGTTGGGAATTGGGTTAATGATCTTACGACTTCCAATTCTTTTAACAGTTATTGGGGGTCTAGTGGTTAAAGTACTGGACACGCTAAGGTGAATGGTGCCCCTGGCTGTCTGGATTCGAATCCTTCTTAGGTGAGGAGTTTTCTGTTGCATATTGGCTTTGGGATCATTCAAGCTCCTTCGCTTGAAGTGTCCCAATATATATATATATATATATATATATATATATATATATATATATATATATATATATATATATATATATATATATATATATATATATGTCGTACCTAGTAGCCAGAACTCACTTCTCAGCCTACTATGCAAGGCCCGATTTGCCTAATAATCAAAGTTTTCATGAATTAATTGCTGTTCGACTACCTAACCTACCTAACCTAACCTAACCTAACTTTTTCGGCTACCTAACCTAACCTAACCTATAAAGATAGGTTAGGTTAGGTTAGGTAGGGTTGGTTAGGTTCGGTCATATATCTACGTTAATTTTAACTCAAATAAAAAAAAATTGACCTCATACATAATGAAATGGGTAGCTTTATCATTTCATAAGAAAAAAATTATCGAAAATATATTAATTCACGAAAACTTGGCTTATTAGGCAAATCGGGCCTTGCATTGTAGGCTGAGAAGTGAGTTCTGGCTACTAGGTACGACATATATATATATATATATATATATATATATATATATATATATATATATATATATATATATATATATATCATTCATACGTGAAACTTGACTTCTTATCAATCAAGTCTTCTCTCGACTCAATTTCTCTCAAATTCATTGTTGAAACTTTGTTCAAGCATCGACAAGAAAACTCAGTACACGAGTATAAACAATTAGGATAGACTACAAACAAGTGTAAATTTTGTTATATATTTAGCCAAACGAAATTTAACTCTAAAGCCAACAGTTATCATAATGAAATTATTGGAATTTTTCAGGAAAATTGAATGTGTTTATAAATATGTATGTATATGTGTAAATATACATATGTATGTATATGTGTAAATATACATATGTATGTATATGTGTAAATATACATATGTTTGTATATGTGTAACATATCATACTGCCAAATACCATACAATTTAATAATGTGGGCTTTATATCTCAGTAGTTGGTTCAAATAATAATAAATTAACAGTTCTGTGGTCACAACTTGATCACTTGAGAAGGTAAAGGACGAAAAAAATGAGATCTGGTTCGAACAAGCATCAACACATGTGTGTGTGTTGTGTATTCTAGTACTCTATAGTGGGTTATGCAGTAACACGACCCAGAGGGGGCGGTCGAAAGGGTTGTTAGCAGACAGGGTGTGAGGGTTAAACGACCAGACGATCCGTGAGTCAAGGTTGTAGACTGTGAGATCTTGTGAGTGGAGACAGAATTGGCAAGCTCTTGTGAGCTGAGAACAAATTGTTATGATCATGTGAGTAGAGAAAGATTTTCAAGATATTGTGAATGGAGAGAGATTGTCAAGTTCTTCTGAGTGGCCAAGGAGTCAGTCATTTCTGACTGTCATGTTAATCCCTTTTCGTAACTAGGAAATAAGTTGAGCTTAGCAGTGAAAGGCATTGAAACTTTTTTTTTTTGGGGGGGGGGGAAGGTAGGAGGGAGAGCAGGTGTGAAGAACTGGAAGAACTTTTGGCATTGTGAAGCTGCATGACAGGTACAGGGCTTGCATGATCTTCATGACAAGGTCAGTGCATTGCAAGGTTTCATGACAGGTATAAGGCATGAGAAGGCATCATGTCAGGTCATGTGATGTCATCATGACTGGTGTGAGTCATATGCTGACCTCACCAAGAGGGGCATAAAACCCGAAATGTTTTTGAATGAGTAACATGAGCACTGTTTTGATATGATTTATTCTGATATGATGAATATGCTGATTACGATGAGCACTGACGACCAATCTATATATCTTTGATATTATCCTGTTGTTCGTCTGTTTTCTTAACATCGACAAATCATCTGCAAAACAAACAGAATATATTTAATATTATATAAATTAATATATTAATGACTGAAAACGACATATTTACACAGATCGAGATATGAACCCTGGTTGAAATCCCTGTATCACTCTTCGTATATCTAAATCAAAATTAATGAATATGATTAACCAAATGATTCTAAAAATCCATTAATCATTATAACCACTTATTATCGCGATGATATGATATTAGGAATTATGTTTAAATGTTTTATCATTAAAAATATGTAATTTTATGTAATTAAAGAAAATAAGAGTTATTAATTTAGTACATTAAACAAAATTATTTTGAGAAGCTGATTTTGCCAAATTGTTTGATAACATTTTGTTAGTGGTTGTGTGGATGGTTGTATATGTTGCTTTGTTTGTTTATACACGCGATTCTCTGTTTGACTGTGTCTATATATCTCCTTGTTTATATACATGTGGATTTACACCTTGTGTGTGTGTGTGTGTGTGAGTTGAGGCCCAGTGTATCTATCACAACTTAGTACTCGCTCGCCCTCGATCTACCACACGTTCACTATCCTTCAGCGAAGTTGGACTTTATGAAGTTGTACTTTTTCAAGTTGGACTTTCTGAGGTTGGACTTTCTGAAGTTGGACTTTATAAAGTCCAAAGTTCAACAAGTTCTTTGGTGTTGTCCGTAGCGTCTTGAGTGTTCTTATCATTCGTGTCCCCCTTTGTTATCTTAAATATTGTACATTTTGTCCTTATTTACCATGTCAATTATCCAGAAAAAATCTTTCATGTCGCTACTATGTCTCTTCTATTCGGAGTTACCTCAGCTTCCGCAAGATTCCTTCAAACATTCCTCTCAGCTTAGTCATCTGAGCTTAACCCTCTCAGCTAAGCACTAAGCTCAGCACTAAGCTCAGGCACGAGGCTGTGGTGTTTTTTTATTTATTTATTTATTTTTATTATTATTACTATTATTAGTATCATTATTATTTTTGTTATAGGTACTCTGTGACCTATTTATTTATTTGTCTCATATGTGTGTGTTCTTGTGTGAGTGTTTATGTGTGGTTACATGGCCCTACTAAAGTACAAATTTATGTGTGTGTTTACTGTACCTTTTGACTACTTTTGAACCACATCATCTTCCTCCTCATCCTCAGCAGCATCTTCCTCATCCTCTTCCTCATCCTCATCCTCATCTTCTGCCTCTCTGTAGAGAAAATCGAGAAAATATTATTATTATTATTATTATTATTATTATTATTATTATTATCTCTATTATTATTATAGAATTAATATCATACACTCATTTTATATATTTTTACTTAATATAATTTTTAACTAAATTATTTTTCATTATTTTTTTAAATAATTAGTTGGCTATATTTTTTAATGTTATTGGTTTGTTCTTATTTGTTATCTATTCTAATTTCCAATTTCGTTATCTATTTATATTGTGCCCGTTACATTAGCAATTCAGATTATGTTACTTTTGGCAAATATGTAATTTCTCTGTGTTCATATTGATGGACACTATTAATTACCTTTTTTCTATATTATGGTCCACTTCCTCATCATCCTCATCATCGTCATCATCATCATCCTCGTCCAGCTCAGTATCTCTGGAAGTTTATTGAATGTGAGTGTGAGTATATCACGAATTAACGTGTGATGAATAATGTGAAAAATGTATATAATCTCAATATTTCCTATGAATTTCTTCACTGTCGAGGGAAGTTGAAAAATTAACTCTCCAAAGTTTATTTTCACACTAAATTATGGTCTGACGCCTATTGATGCGTTTCGCATGGCATTCCTTACACCTCCAAAGACAAATTTGTCTTTGAAAATGTAAGGATATAAATGTATATGTATCCATAAACATTTTTCAAGATTACTCCACATTACTTCAAATAGGCAATGCATCAGGCTGGCCTATTTTATCGATACAGTTTTATAGCTGCGTCTCACCTCTTCTCCACCTGGTGCTGCTGCTTCTGCTGCGCCTCCTCCTTCACCGTCTTTACCTGAGAGGTCGCAGACCCACCGAAGAACCAGAAGGCGTCAGTGGCGCCCAACACGGCCACCAGCAGGAGCAAAGTCACAGTTACCCTGCCAGAAAAAAAGGAAGATACACATTTTAAAACAAATGAAATCACTGCTTTGGCGTATATACCTTGGATAGCGAGATTGTATTCTGGAAGGGTGTAGTATACCTTATATAGCGAGATTGTATTCGGGAAGGGTGTAGTATACCTTATATAGCGAGATTGTGTCATGGAAGAGTGTAGTATACTTTGAATAGTGAGACAGCACTCCGTAACAATACTTAATGTGACCTCGTAACGTTTAAGGAGCTCGTTAACTGTCAAGATATGAGGTACCGATCTCGTAAATGGACACGTAAGTTTTTTGTGAATCCAGCCCTGCTGGCCGTATTTCACGAGTAGGGAGAGGGAGACATGATAACGACGTAGACGATCATCAATCTGAAAATAGGTTTGATTGACATTTCAGCAGTTACCCTGCTCTCTTGCCTCTTCCATAAAATGGTTTGGTAAGTTTTCAATAATGTTGCCTTTCAGTTTACCATGGAAACTTTAACACAGTGAAAGTTTGATAGAAAATATGAAGTTATCATTGATTTGCAACGTAAGGCAAAACTGGATACATGTAGTATATTGCAAATCAATTTCTCAAAACTTTGACAACCATCAATAAATTATATTTCATAAAAGAGCCTAAAGGAGCCAGTGACAGCTGTTGTTTAATTGCTTTTGATATATTTTGTTATTGGAATTGAATGTTTCTAATTTACTGAACTGCATTTTGGTGGTTACTTTCCATTTTCAATCATTCTGTCACTGTTGTCGCTTTTATGGCGGATTGAGCAGACAGGCTCAAACAAAAGCTTGTCTTTGGAAGTGACAGTTAGCAGATTCTGTCCAGTGAATAGATTCTGTCCAGTAAGCTTATGCCTGTCGCTATAATGGTTAGGCTTCCAACACTACGTCCCAGGCTGTCTGTCTGTCTCTGTCTCTCTCTCTCTCTCTCTCTCTCTCTCTCTCTCTCTCTCTCTCTCTCTCTCTCTCTCTCTCTCTCTCTCTCTCTCTCTCTCTCTCTCTCTTAAGACGAAGTGACACAGGAGTCTCTTTTGGTTATGCTACACCCATATCCTCTAGGGGGACTGACTTAAGATGCCCTATTGAGAACTGATATTAGATATTCACTGTCGATTCTGGGCTTACTCTGATGTTGTTGGGTTGATGTACTGTGTTGGGTGAGGTTGTGGGTTTACTGTGATGGGTGTGGCTGTCAAGAAGAGAGAGTGGAGCTATCTCAGTGATACGGAACCACCTCCTCAGTTGTGGAATCTACCACAATGTCCTATCGCTATGCGGAATTCAACCCTTCCACGAATACAGATTCCGTGGTAGCTCACCTCATGATGACGAGAGACAAGGAGCGAAGCAGTAACAATCGTTGGGGAGAACTGGAGATGGAATGTAACGAACTGTGGACGGCAAAGGTATTTATGTATCTTTTCCCTCCCTCCCTCTCTCACCCCCCTCTCCAGCTTCCATATGACAACGTGGCTCGAGTCAGCGTGGCGGGAGAGATGCCATTGTTCTCCACCCTGTAGCGAGGATGCGCTGTCCGCCGCCCGGTTCAATTCTCCCGTCAATTTTCCGATCAAACTGAGACATGATCGAAAAATAAAAACGAGATGTACGTAGCACTGAACGCAAACAGGATTCAGCAATGACGTATTATTTTGACGTGATGTTGGTGTGTTTACAACCCCCAGACAACAGATGCAACCACATATACACAACACACACAGGTGTTCATTGTGGTAGGCAGACCCCGTTAACAACCGCTGTTGCTATAACTACCGCTCCCGTGCTTGCATGCATGGCTTGCCATATAGTACAGATTTGTTAGATAATTCGTGACGATAAATACGAACAGCCTTGTGTGTGTCGACCTAGAGAGGAAGGGCCATGGTAAATGAGGTCAACTTAGGAAGGAGAGAACAACGCGCAGCTTGGAATTTTAGAACGAGGCTGTTGGTGGGCTAGGCAGTGGAGGAAGGGATTGGGTGAGGGATTGGGTTGATTAACAAATAACATATATAACAAACATATAAATAAATAAGTAAATAAATGGATAAATAGGTAAATAGTTGAAAGACACAAATTATGTTAAATAAAAAGTGTGGTAAGTGTGTTAAAAATCTGACCCAACGTGTGTTAAAAATCGATATTTTCGGGTGTAATCTTCCTCCTTTCTCAAGATGGTTTATACGGGTTACTTTACACAATGTGAACATTGTATACAGAGCCTTGAAAAATAATGTAGATTACATCTGAAAATTTGGTATATAAATACACTTGCATATAAATTGAGTCTTTCCTTCGCCTTCAGTCAAGCACTACGGCATTGTAGGAGGTTTCTCCAGGTAAATAATAATATATATTCTCAGGTAAATATATATATATATATATATATATATATATATATATATATATATATATATATATATATATATATATATATATATATATATATATATTCTCCCATAGAAGAAGTGGCGCAGTGGAATTTTCCGTCAATAGAAAACGAGATATCATTGCCACATAGCGCTATAAATTCACAAGGGAATGTTGGGAATTATTCATAAATACAGTAGTCTTTGGACTTATTACATCATAAAAACATAACATTTGAATTAACTTAATTATCAATATCAAAATAGAGTAAATGTGACCCTTCTATCACACATTGACATGTCTGGATAAGAAGAGCCAGGCGTCAGTGGTGAGGGAGGTTAGCTATTGTTAGCCAACAGTGTCGCGGCGCAAATTGAGCTCCTATAATTCTCTCTTGGAGGAAGTGTTATGGAGATCAAATTAGTGCTTCTACCATTATCACCACCACGCAGTCAACATCCACAAGGGAAGTGGCTTTCCGAAATCTTATCTAATTCATTTCTGGCCAGTAATGTCACGTAGATAGGATTAATTCCGGTTAAAACATGAGGCAACTACTCAATCTAGGTCATTACTCCTTGGTCCTTATCGAATGATATACAGTATTTTCTCTGATATAGCTGTCATATATTGGATTCCGGTTTTACAGCTAGTGCCTTTTTTTGACAGGAACATAGAAGAGGAAGCAAGAATTAATCTTGGTGCATCAGTTACTTGAGTGTTGGAAGCTAGGCTCACACGAGGATTATTGATGATTTGATTGTTGGCGCTGTTTACATCCTAGTTATATCTGGTGGACTAGGCCTACCATACAATAAGGTAACGCACCTCAATTTAGTTATTAATATGTGTAGTTTAATACTGTAGTTTGATTGGCTGCATATTTATAAATTTAATATAAACCCCCTTAATATGTAGAAATCGAGTTGTGAGAATATTGCAGAAATACAGTCCACTAAACATCATACAAATTGCTATCGAAATATATAAATTAATGTAAATATAAATTCTATATAAATTCATATAAATTAAATAAATATAAATCTCACGAGTCGATTCCCACATAAGGCAGTAAAGAGTAAAAGCAAGCTTAGCTAAGCTGCAAACACACACGCATTGTGCCACCTCACACACACACACACACACACACACACACACACACACACACAAACACAGCGCTCTGACAAGAGAGAGCAAGCTTAGCTAAGCTACCAACACAAGCATTGTGTCAGCAAGGCGGACAGCCCGCCTGCAGTCATGACTCACATAGTATTTCCCATGTCCAAACTTCTCTTTTCGCCTGTGTCTCCATCCTCTTTGCTAAAAAAAAAGTAGATTTTGTTAGGGAAGGATAGAGGGACTGTAGACAGAAGAAGAAAGGGGTCGAACTGTGATAGGGAAGGTGTTTGACAGGTTATGAGGTTTATTAAGAATGGTGGAGAGGGGGTGGCGTGCTTAGCTGGGGAGGGGGTGGTGTGCTTGGCTGGGGAGGGGGGGGCGTGCTTAGCTGGGGAGGGGGTGCTAGAGAAGTCGCAGAGATAGAGGGAGGAGGAAGAATATTGGGGTTGTAGGCTTCAAACTAGCTCATTTTATCCCTGCCTGACAACATGTAAATATATTCCACTAATTTGATAGTTGCTGATATTCACCCATCTCACACACACACACACACACACACACACACACACACACACACACACACACACACACACACATCTGTGTGTGTGTGTGACATCTTCAGGAGTACACTGTGACTGACAGAGGTATACTGAGCTTACAAGGATTGTTGTTGTTTTAGATTCAGCTACTCGGAACAAAAATTCCAAGTAGTACGGGCTATGGTGAGCCCGTAGTGGACTTACCTGGCACAGGAGCGGGGCAAGTAGCACGGGCTATGGTGAGCCCGTAGTGGACTTACCTGGCACAGGAGCGGGGCAAGTAGCACGGGCTATGGTGAGCCCGTAGTGGACTTACCTGGCACAAGAGCGGGGCAAGTAGCACGGGCTATGGTGAGCCCGTAGTGGACTTACCTGGCACAAGAGCGGGGCAAGTAGCACGGGCTATGGTGAGCCCGTAGTGGACTTACCTGGCACAGGAGCGGGGCTGTAACTTGTGTGTGTAATATGTAACTAACAAATACTGCTGTTGTTGTTGTTGTTTTAGATTTAGTTACTCAGAACGAAATGTCCATGCAGCACAGGCTATGGTGAGCCCGTAAAATACTGCTGTGTTAGCACCTGGCTATATCCTCTTGTGGTGAGGTGGTTAGGTGACATATGGATGAATGACATTACATGGGGTGCTAATGGGGTGCTAATGGGGTATTAAATAGTGTGACTTGTTGGTAGCTTATGTTCTTCTGGTTGCTTCCGTTCCTGTCGTTTTCAATTAAATATGTTTAAAAGAAAAACTGCTGCCAATATATGTCCATACTTTTATTCGCATTTGGGTGAGGTGATATGGTACAACAGTTTTGGGTGAGGTGATATGGTACAACAGTTTTGGGTGAGGTGAACAAACTTGTGACAAACACAAGACAAAACACGAAACTATGGGTATTAATTGGATATGAGCACATAAGAATGGAAGTAACTGCAGTGGGCCTATTGACCCATACTTCATCTTGATGCTTCTATATTGGTTCGGAGTCTTGAAGTGGGCAGAATATAGTTGTGCAATAAGTGGCTGTTGATTGCTGGTGTTGACTTCTTGATGTGTAGTGCCTCGCAGATGTCGAGCCTCCTGCTATCGATGATTTCTGTGTTGTTTGTTAAGATTTCTCTGGTGATGGTCTGGTTGTGAGAGGAGATTATATGTTCCTTTATGGAGCCCTGTTGTTTATGCATTATTAATCGCCTGGAAAGAGACGTTGTTTTCTTGCCTATATACTGAGTTCTTTGGGGCTTACAGTTCCCAAGTGGGCATTGGAAGGTATAGACGACGTTGGTTTCCTTCAAGGCGTTCTGCTTGGTGTCTGGAGAGTTTTTCATGAGTAGGTTGGCCGTTTTTTGACGATTTACTAGAAAACCATACACTTTAGTGTTTTTATGACTGGATTTACACATTTAAATTTAATTAAAAAATTTACACGTTACATCTGACACCAATTATAATGTACCCCCAAAAATGGCATAAAAAAAAGATTTAAAAACCCTGGTACTCAATACAAAAGTTTATAGGGAAGAAATCATAACGATATGTTTGAATAAACAAAGAGGTTGCAAACTAAGAAGAAGTTTAAGTCGCCATTAAAGAGACTGAAGCCCAATCGCATAAGCAACAGGAGTTGGACGCTTGAGGCACAGATGGTCATTCCAACACTCGCCCGATGCCTTCCCCTCCGTCCTATTCATGCCTTCCCCTCCGTCCTATTCAACCCAGTGTGTGTTGATCAAATTCGAGGATTAAGTTGAAAAGCGTTCGTGGAATACCGCCACTACTACTACTACCACCACTCGGCTCGCATACCAAAAGTGGGGAGGGGCCATAACCCGCGTTGAGCAAGTTTAATATTTTACCTGTCAGCCAACGACCAGGTGGGCGGCTACTAACACCTGTGTCTATGTAGTCACAATTATCATGTGTGTGTGGAGCCCTCTACCGCCGCTGAAACCAACCAAACAAACAGTGACGTGGCCATTTTCCCGCCCTGTAGGGCGATCAAGATCTCCAGAAGGTATCTGTGTGTGTTTTTGACAAGTAGAGCTTCAAATGTATTTGAAACATAGAATAGTTTCGTAGAATATAATCTATCATAAGGGTTAAAACAAAAAAACACGTTACACAGCAAGATTGGGACAGAATACAAAATAAGAAGTTCAAAGTTTATATAAATTAATATCAAATAAAAAGACTAAAACAGTAAAACCTAAATATAATCCAAAATTTTACTGATAAGAATTAGACAACGAAGCATGAAAAATGCCAATCAACATACTTCAAGAAGACGAAAAGTCATTGTATGTAAACAATTAAGAGTTGAAGCCCTTCAATCCCAGTCCCATTCTCCCGGTCGAAATTGATTACCAGATGTTGAGATCTAGTC